TGCCTCCTGGTTCTCTCCTGCCAGAAGGGGCCTTGAAACAGGAAAACTGCAGTCCCCCCCATTCCCAGGGCCTAACTCAGAGAAGCTCAGGTTCCAGCCCTGAGGCGGCAGGCGTTCCTGCCAGCGCCTCACCTCCCCAGGTGGCTGGGATGTCCTTCAAGCAGTCTCCAGGGCACCAGAGCCCTCCTGCTTCCCCTGAGAAGGCACCCAGCGGTAAGCCTCTCAAGGAAGAGAATGAGGGAACAGTGGACAAGTCTCCCCCAGGAAGTCCCCAAAGCCCTTCTAGTGGAGCTGAGGCTGCAGACGAGGACAGCAATGACTCCCCTACCTCCTCCAGCTCGTCTAGGCCCCTCAAGGTGCGGATCAAGACTATTAAAACATCTTGTGGGAATATCACAAGAACTGTAACCAGGGTTCCCTCAGAACCCGATCCCCCTGCCCCTTTGCCAGAGGGAGCTTTCCTGGCTGAGGCTAGCTTCCTGAAACTGTCTCCTGTAACTCCAACCCCTGAGGGTCCAAAGGTGGTGAGTGTCCAACTGGGCGATGGCACAAGGCTGAAGGGCACAGTGTTGCCTGTGGCTACCATCCAGAATGCTAGCACTGCCATGCTAATGGCGGCTAGTGTTGCCCGCAAAGCTGTGGTTCTACCAGGGGGGAGTGCCACCAGCCCTAAGACTGTGACTAAGAGCGTGTTAGGTCTGGTACCCCAAACTCTTCCCAAGGCTGAGGTGCGGACAGGGCTAGGTCTTGGGGGACAGAAGGTAAATGGTGCCTCAGTGGTGATGGTACAGCCTTCTAAGTCTGCTACTGGGCCAGGCACAGCAGGTGGATCAGTGATCTCTCGGACCCAGTCCAGCCTGGTAGAGGCCTTCAACAAGATCCTCAACAGCAAGAACCTGCTGCCTGCTTATCGACCGAACCTGAGTCCACCGGCCGAAGCAGGGCTGGCCCTGCCGCCCACAGGCTACCGCTGCCTTGAGTGTGGGGATGCCTTTTCCCTGGAGAAGAGCCTGGCACGGCACTATGACCGCAGAAGCATGCGCATAGAGGTCACCTGTAACCACTGTGCCCGTCGCCTGGTCTTCTTCAACAAGTGTAGCCTACTCTTGCATGCCCGTGAGCACAAGGACAAGGGGCTTGTCATGCAGTGCTCACATTTGGTCATGCGGCCTGTAGCCCTTGACCAGATGGTGGGGCAGCCAGACATCACACCCCTGCTGCCTGTGGCTGTCCCACCTGTCCCTGGAACTCTGGCCTTGCCTATTTTGGGCAAGGGGGAGGGGGCTGTCACCTCTACCATTACTACAGTCGCCACTGAAGCCCCTGTGCTACCACTCCCGACAGAGCCCCCCACTCCCCCCACTGCCTCTGTTTACACGTGCTTCCGCTGTCTGGAGTGTAAGGAGCAGTGCCGGGACAAGGCCGGCATGGCAGCCCACTTTCAACAGCTGGGCCCTCCCGCGCTTGGGTCTACCAGCAACGTGAGTTGTCGTTCATTTCTCTTGGGGAAGGGACCACCAGACACTGGAGGTGAAGTCCAGGAAGGTACTGGCAGCTTGCTTAGGCAAATAATGGGGTGCAGGGCACCCCTTATCCACTTAACCTTGCTTAACCTCTTGACAGGTGTGCCCATCCTGCCCCATGATGCTCCCCAATCGTTGCAGCTTCAGTGCCCACCAGCGCACACATAAGAACCGACCCCCCCATGTCTGTCCTGAGTGTGGGGGCAACTTTCTACAAGCCAGTTTTCAGACCCATCTTCGAGAGGCCTGTCTGCATTTCTCTCGCCGTGTGGGATACAGGTGCCTCATACTCATCTCCCCATAGACCCTGAGGATCTCTTTCTTAGCAGCACCCTTGTAGATGGCTCTCAAGGAGAACCATCATTTTTCTTGTCCCTCTCAGCGCTATTGTATTGACACATGTCATGCCCTGCCGTCAAGCCACGTACTGTGAGAGCAGTGGAGAGCAGGGCTCTGTGGAACTCCAACTCTGCCTCCTCAGGCCTCCCCCCCTCGCTTATGCCCCTTTGCTGATGTCCTTTTGAAGTCCACCCAGTCCTCAAGAGTAAGCGGGGTGCTGGAGATCCCCCTACCTCACTGCGGTACCTCCCACTCCTCTCCTAGGTGCCCCAGCTGTGCAGTGGTGTTTGGGGGTGTGAACTCCATCAAGTCCCACATACAGGCATCACACTGCGAAGTTTTCCACAAGTGCCCCATCTGCCCCATGGCCTTCAAGTCAGCACCCAGCGCCCATGCCCACCTCTACTCCCAGCATCCCAGCTTCCTCAGCCAGCAAGCCAAGTGAGACCTGGGGAGGCAGGGGTGGACTGGGGTGGCTGCAGGGTAGGGTTTCGCTGCCCTAGCATGGTGTTTGCACTGACCTTTCTGCACCCAGGCTGATCTACAAGTGTGCCATGTGTGACACGGTCTTCACTCACAAACCTCTCCTCTCCTCACACTTCGACCAGCACTTGCTGCCCCAGCGAGTCAGCGTCTTCAAGTGTCCATCTTGTCCTCTGCTTTTTGCCCAAAAAAGGACCATGCTGGAACATCTCAAGGTACAGAAGGAGCAGAGTGCTGGGGAGTAGAAACTTGGCTAGCTGTGTGGACCCGAACTAGAGCCCCATAGCCCTCTGGCAGTGGGAGCAGAGGGAAGCGAGGCCTTTGGCAAAGCCAGGCTCTCCTCACAGAGCCTCCTCTTGTCTTCCTCCTGTAGAACACTCACCAGTCTGGACGCCTGGGGGAGGAGGCAGGTGGCAAAGGGGTTGGAGGTGCCCTTCTGACCCCCAAGACTGAGCCTGAGGAGCTGGCTGTGTCTCGGGCGGAGGCAGCCCCTGCTACTGAGGAATCTTCCTCATCCGAAGAGGAGCTGCCCAGCTCCCCTGAGCCTCCCCGCCCAAGCAAACGACCCCCCCGACGGGACCTGGGAAGCAAAGGCATCAAAGGTGGGGGTGGGGGGCCTGGGGGCTGGACCTGTGGCCTTTGCCATTCCTGGTTTCCTGAGCGTGATGATTATGTGACTCACATGAAGAAGGAACATGGCAAGGTGAGCTAGCCTTCCTCTGGGAAAGGTAGGCTGGAGGGTTGACCTGTGTGACTGAAATTTCCCTTGCTCCTTGCTCTCTAGTCAGTGAAAAAGTTCCCCTGTCGTCTATGTGAGCGGTCCTTCTGCTCTGCCCCCAGCCTGAGACGCCATGTGAGGGTCAACCATGAGGGAATCAAGAGAGTTTACCCATGCAGGTAACCCCGACTCATTCCCTCTTCCTACCTGCTGGATGACCCTTCCTCCCAGGGTACCTGTCACCTGCTCCTGCTTGAGGGATCCAAAGGTTGAGGCCTCTGTCTGCTCTGGCAGCCTCCTCTCAGGAGCTGTGGGCTGTGGTCTTTTCCTCCTGTGCTACCCTGCCCGCTTTACCTCTGCTAGGTATTGCACAGAGGGAAAGCGCACCTTCAGTAGTCGCCTGATCCTGGAGAAGCATGTCCAAGTCCGGCATGGCTTGCCCCTGGGGACCCAGTCCCCTTCTGGCAGAGGAGGCACTCTGGTGCGAGGCTCTGGTGGCAGATCCCAGGTGAGAAGGGGCCCTCCTGATACTATGTCACGGGAGTGAGAAACTAGTGAGCCCCTGGTCTCAGGAAGCCAGGGTGATGGTGAGGCCCAGTTTCTTGCACTTTTCTCCAGGGGCCAGGACGGAAACGCCGCCAGTCTTCTGACTCATGCAGTGAGGAGCCAGACAGCACGACACCCCCAGCCAAGTCCCTGAGGGGTGGCCCTGGGTCAGGAGGCCACGGTCCTCTTCACTGTAGGAGCAGTGGCTCGGCGGAACAGAGCATTGTGGTGGGGCTGAGGGTGGATGGTGGCACGCAGCAGTGCCTCGACTGTGGCTTGTGCTTTGCTTCCCCTGGCTCCTTGAGCCGCCACCGCTTCATTAGCCACAAGAAGAGACGGGCCGGGGGTAAAGCCAGTGCTCTGGGGATGGGGGATGGGGAAGAAGACGTTCCTCCATTTCGGTCTGACCCAGAGGGTGGAGAGTCACCTTTGCCTGTTTCTGGAGGCCCCCTGACTTGTAAGGTCTGTGGCAAGAGCTGTGATAGCCCTCTGAATCTCAAGACCCATTTTCGCACACATGGCATGGCATTCATCAGGGCCCGGCAGGGAGGCAGTGGGGACAACTAGGTCCCAGGCCTAGGATTAGCCAGTCCTCTTCCCTGGAACTTGGGTTTCACTGCTGCTGTCACCTCCCTGGGCTGGGAAGTTTAACACTTACTTTGTTTGATTCTTCTCTTTTTGGCCCCAAGGGAAAGCTTTTTTTGGATTCTAGTGACTTGCACCCCACTCCCTCTTGGGTTTGGTCCTTGGGTCCTGCTTAAGCGGGCTCTCCTTCCTTTCTGAACCCAACACTAATGTTCCTGCTGCAGGCCCCAGTGTGTAGCTGTGGGAGGACAGAAGTCTGCTAGACAGGCACTGGGGAGACCTAGGACGTACAGGGTCCAGCTTCTGCCCCTCTGCTAGATGGCTTCCTCTGGGCTGGGTGCTGCCCTAGTATTCCCTCCTCTAACACTCATCGCACTAACACCCCGCCCCAATCCCTGCAGTGCCTTCCATTCGTCTTTTCCTCCAGAAATCTAGGGGTGGGGGGGCTGGTGGGGATGAGTCCTGTCAAATGGGGTCCAGGGAGAGGAGAGGACAGGCTCTCAGGAATCCTTTATTCTTGTAGTAATAATACTAACAGTGGGAGAAACAAGAGGGAGAAAGCCAGACCATTAAAACTGCTTGTGGTTTAATCCCCACTCAGGCTTTTCTCTTTATGTGAGTTGGACAATGTATACTGCTAGGGAGGGGGAGTCAGAACTGGGGGAAGCCCTTCTCAGGGAAGAGGCAGTGTTGACCAAGACAGATGGAAAAGTCAGCTTTGTCTTGTGTGTTTGGTGCCTTTTGTATGCTGGATTTAGCCTCTTCTTCCACCCACCCCCACCCCCAGAAGCAACTCAAACAAGACAGATGGCTAACTAAGGACTTTATTTCAAACAAAAATTAAAAATAAAAAAATTGAGAGCTATTTCCCTGGGTGTCAGGAAAGGAATTCCCCATGGCTAGGCCATTGCCCTCAATGCATTAGAGGGCTTGTGGCAGTTCCCTTCCTTAGCCCATGATGGGGAACCTCAGCAAGTGCAGGGCCCTGTGGCAGGGAATGTGGGCTAGGGGTCAGCCCCTGGGAGGGTAGAGTTGGGCAGCAGCATGGTCAGACATAGGATTACATCCTAAGTACCAAGAACCCACTCCTTCCCATCTTGCTGGGACCCAGAGAAACCAAGACTGTAGAAAGAACCTCTGAGACTCTGGAGAGGGGAAAAAGGCCCCCATCCTTGCGTTCATCACTTCTCTGGAGGGCAGCGAGTCCTGGGATCTGTCAGGTGGTAATACTGACACAGCAGGAGGTGGGGAAGCCCCAGCAAGTCTGGACCCCATGGTTGGCTCTCCTACTCTCTGGCAGCTCTCATGGTTACCACATGATCCTTTGTATTTCTTGCCTTCCGTTTCCCTTGGGTAGGTGGTTAGGTAGGTAGGGTTTTGTGATTTGGGGTTTCTTAGGCAAGGGTCCTCCAAGGGAGGAGGGTGCCTTCAATCCCACCACTTGTAGGCCCGAGCAGGGTATCACATGATGCCATTGGTGAGGTACTGGAAGCCGTCGTAGAGTTTGGTGGTGATAGACCTCATGCTGCCATCCACCATCTGCTCCACCAGCAGCTGTAGCTGCTCCTCGGTCATGCTCATGTGGAACCTCTCTTTGAGGTTGCGAATGGTGCTGGAGCCATGGAAGCAAGGGAGCTGAGAACCTGGGGGAAAGCAGTAGCAATTAAGGCTCGTGGGCAGTTAGGAAAGCAGGCTAGTAGTCAGTAGTCAAAGGGAAGAGAGCTGGAAGTATATATAGAGCCCACCTTCCCTCCAGCCACAGGGACCCATGGGAGGTATAGAACAACTCTGCTTGTGCAGAGAAAGGCAGTCTGGAGGCCTTCAGTCCATCCTCACCCCATATTCCTTAGTTCCTCTATATGTGGGAGTATGTGGGCAGAGCAGGGAAAGGAAGCCCACAGTACCCCCAGAAGCCTCGGAGAGAAGTCTCAGAGCCCAGAGGGGAGGCTGGGGAAAGTTCTGGGAATGGGCCCTGCACTTATCTGGTTGCAGGCCTCTGCCTACGCTAGGTCTGACACTCACAGATGACCTGGGCCACCGTCACCACGGGGCCAGACAGAGATGCTCCTGAGCAACGGCGGCAACCTGTGGGTATGGGCAAGGATGGGGAGGAGACTGGCAGCTTAGGTAGGGTAAATGTTTGGAGGTTTTTTTGGGGAGGGGTAAGAGGGGGCCCAGAGGAATTGTGTGAGGGAGGATCCTGTGCAAAGGACCGGGGAAGCAGCAGAGTGAAAGGTAAAGGAGGCAGGAAGAACTCCATTCAGAGCTAAGGATTAGTTAGTAGGGAAAGGAAGGTGGCTTGAGGTGGTGGCCAAGGCCAGGGCAGTCAGTCAAGTGTGGTGGGAGAGAAGTGGGTAGAAGCACCAGAGTTAGCAGAGGAGACTGAGAAATAAGAGTGGATGACCAGGAGGCTGAAGATGGGTGTTTTCCCCATGAGGGTACCCAAGTGCTTTCTGCTGCTCCTTTAGTCTTGCGTCCCCCACCCCCTGTGTTAGGGTGAAGAAGAGTGTTCTAAAGGGAAAATGGAACCCCGTAAGAAACCCTCCCCAGCCTGAGTTGACATGGGATTCACCTCCTAAAAGTTCTAAGTTCTGGGCAACCCAACCCAAGGCAGCCCAAGCCCTGGGGTCCGCAGCCGCACCTTGCTGCATGATCTCCACGATCTGCACCACCTTGTCCATATGCTTCCGGGCAGCAATCAGTCCCTGCAGCATGAGCATCTTGTAATAGTTGAACATGTCACCATTCAGGCCACCCATTACCTGGAAGCGAGGAGAGGGTATGCATAAAGGGATTCTGGTGGGTCCTTTCCCATGGGCCTCCCACAACTTCGTTAAGGCAATCACGGTAGATTTCACCATTTGCACAAGAATGCTCCTAAGAAATCCTGCCTCATCCTGATTTACTGCATTTCTGTTCTGTTCCTTCCTGATTTGGGGGAGCCCATCACCTCTTCCTATCAGGAAGAGCACGATGACCCTTGGAGGCACCTCTTTTTTGACTTACATCCACAAATTCAGTGGTCAGCTTAAAGGCTGATGTCTCAAAGCCCAGGTTTCGGGGTGAGCTGGAGAGGATGAAGCCAAAGTCGATGTGGATGATGTGACCTTCTGCATCCAGAAGGATGTTCCCATTGTGCCTGAGGAAGGGCAAGAGGAAGAGGCAACACTAAGTTTGGCTTAGGTGGATCTCAAGCTGCAACAGTGGCCTCACCATACCGGACAGGGGAGGCCCCAGCCATGTTTCCTGTTGCTTACAAGTCTGGGTCAATTTCCTAGGACCTAAAACTTGCAACGAAAAGGAAGTCTGAAAACTACAAAGACTGGGGTATAAAATTCAATTATGAGCTTAATAAAAATAGTTTAAAGATTATCACAGGGCTAGGATGTAGCTTGGTTGGTAGAGTGCTTGCCTGTCATGCAGGAAGCCCTGGGTTCTTAGCTTTGTTCCCTAATACAACATAAACTGAATGTGAATAATAGCAATTGTCTGTAATTCTAGAACTTGGGAGATGGAGGCTGGAGGATCCTAAATTGAGGGTAATCCTCAAATACAAAGAGTTTGAGGTCAGACTGCAAATACATGTTCATTTCCCAAAAATTGTACTTCTAGTACCCAAGCTTGAGCTTGATTTAGTAGTAAACACGGATGTAAAGAAAGAAGGTGCCTGAGTCTCCAGTAGCTAGCTGTCTAAATGTGGGGGATGGGGTGGGGAGGGACCCTCATTCAGCATCAATTTACCTATACCTATTTTTTTTTTTTGAGATAGGGTCTCACTGTGTAGCTCCAGCTGGTACTATGTAGACCAAGTTGGCCTCAAACCCTCACAGTCACCTGCCTCTGTCTCCTGAGTGCTGGGATTATTTTAATTTTTAATCACCCCACTGTAGAACCAAAGCCCTATCAGTATAGAACAACAATTAGAAGCAAGCAGACTGAGCATAATTATTTTGTATTGTGTGTATCAATATTCATGCACTCTCAGGTCAACTTAAGGCATTGTTCCTTAGAAACTGTCTACTTTTTTTTTTTTTGGTTTTGTTTTTGTTTTTTCGAGACAGGGTTTCTCTGTGTAGCTTTGGAGCCTGTCCTGGACCTCTGTAGACCAGGCTGGTCTCGAACTCACAGAGATCCACCTGTCTCTGCCTCCCGAGTGCTGGGATTAAAGGTGTGCACCACCAAAGCCCAGCTCCGTCTACTTTTTTTTTTTTAAGTGAAAGATGGAGGTCTTACTATGTAGCCCCTGACCGACCTCAAACTTTTCAGACTCACTTGCCTCTGCCTCCTGAATACTGGGCTTCCTAGAGCAGCTTGCCTAGGGAATCCTTTGGTTTCTGCTTGTGCTACCACACCTGGCTTTTTAATGTGGGTTCTGGGGATTGAACCCAGGTCCTCATGGTTTTATAGCAGTAACTTTATGGACTGAACTATCTCCCCAGCCTCCACCCCCATCCTCCTTAAAGATATGTTACACTGTAGCCTAGCTGGCCTGTGGCCCAAGTCAGTTCAAACTCATGGCAGTCCTTCTGCCTCCCAAGTGCTAAGATTATGTGAGTGAGCCATCATATCTGGCTGAGAAGAGTTTAAGTATACACTCACATAAACAAACAAACAAAGAAACCTTAGGAGAGGTATAATACAGGAAGATAGGAAGGAGAGTTACAGGGAAGTAAATCCAGGTCCTTGTGATTCCCACATTAATGGCTACGAAGAACAATTAACATGCTAAGCATGTGAGGTCTGGCCTATTCAGCACAACTAGCCTTTTCACTGTTAATAGAAGCTTTATTAGGCTGAGCACTCATGCCCCATCTGAGAGCCACCTTGTCTGAGCTGGTCAGGCTGGCTGAAAGAGGATGCATGCAGACAGCAAGACCTACTTCCAGTTGTGGAAAAGCACTAATGTAGTAGTGCCTGCACAATCTAGAGTCAGAGCCGAAAAATGACCACCCCCAGCCCCAGTGTCCTGAAGCCAGTGATAGGCATTTTCATTCTTTTAACTAACTACCCAGGATAGCTTCTACCTGGAAAGCTGCCTTAGGACTCTTTTTTTTTTTTAAATGGGGTTTTGTTTTTAATTGTCCTAATTTACTGTTTTCTTTTTTTTTAAATATTTTATTATGTATACAATCTTCTGCCATCATGCCAGCAGAGGGCATCAGATCTCATTCAAGGTGGTTGTAAGCCACCATGTGGTTGCCGGGAATTGAACTCAGGACCTTTGGAAGAACAGTCAGTGCTCTTAGCGGCTGAGCCATCTCTCCAGCCCACTGTTTTCTTATTTGTCTTTACAGTGACATTATTGGGGATAAATTAAAAAAATATATTCATATTTCACCTTTTAAAACTCAGAACATGACAAATTGCACTTACTGGAAATTCACACTATTAGAAATCCCTGAAGTGTACTTCATAAAAGAAGGTAAGTTTCTTGGTTGTACCAGTGCAATGGACATGCTCTTTTTAGTTCCCCCAAGTGACAGTTTTGTCAGATTTCCCTCAAGACCTTCTACTAAGATATTAATGCAGAGATACCAGAGTGAATGTTTTCTATAAACAAAAAGGAAGGAGTAAATCTTAACATTGGATCTGTCCAAGTAATAATAAATAAAAATTATTTTGTCCCAAAATATTTGGGTCCCATCTTTGTCAAGCTAACTTTCCCCTGATAAGCAGAGAGAGACCCACACAGTGCACCCGTGCCAAAAGCTGGTTATCCCTTTGTAGTCCCAGCTATGAACGAGAAAAACTTGAGTCCATATGCCTTTGCTAGTTTTTGTTTTTCTGAGACAATCTCATGTACCCCAAGCTGGCTTAGAACATATGAGGGTAACCTTGAACTTGTGGTCTTCTTTCTGCTATCTCCCTAGTGTGTGTCAGTATAAGCAATGGTCATATCGGATGTTGGAGACTGATTCTAGATAAACTCCACCCACTGAGCTATATCCTCAGTCTTTCCCACCCCACCCCCTTTTTAAAAAGCAGTGTTGGGGAGATGGCTCAGCAGTAAAGAACACTGGTTGCTCTTCCAAAGGACCAAGGTTTGATTCCCAGCACCCACATGGCAGAACTTCAGTTCTGGGGTATTTGATACCTTCTTCTGGCCTTTGTGGATGTCAAACACAAACATGGTGTGCAGACACACTTGCAAGCAAAACATACACATAAAAATGCAATAAAAAAATCAGCTCCAGCAAATTCTGTTAAAAAATTTGAATGATTTACTCTTCCTGGGCTTGTTCTAGTGTTAAAATCTGATCATGACAGCACACATACTCTGTAGCATATCCTGAATGCTGTGCTATTTGATATTATTGCCACTGTAGTGGCAGGCAACAGTTTTGACCAACATGACACACTCCTCTATTTCAGACTTGTTTAAAGCAGGATAGTTGTTGGTGAGGATAACGAATTTTACTTGGCCTTACGTGACCATGATGAGTGTGTGACTTTTTTTTTTTTTTTTTTTTGGTTTTTATGAGACAGGGTTTCTCTGTATTGTTTTGGAGGCTATTGGTCCAGCCCAGCCTCGAACTCACAGAGATCTGCCTGCCTCTGCCTCACGAGTGCTGGGATTAAAGGTGTATGCCACCACCGCCCGGCGATTTTTTTTTTTGAGACAGGGTTTCTCTGTGTCCTGGAACTCACTTTGTAGACCAGGCTAGCCTCAAATTCATAGAGATCTGCTTGCCTCTGCCTCCCAAATACTGGGATTAAAGGTGTACACCACCGCTGCCTGGCAAGTATATGTGATTTTATAACAAGTTGGAGCCTAGACCTACAGGTGATCAACATCAACAACTTTCTTTTCTTTGTAGCCAACATCTTGTGAAATGGTTCCCAGTAGTCTTTTACTGTTTTTTTTTTTTTTTGAGAGCATGAGCCATAGTTTATTATAGCGAGACCAAAAAGGGGTGGGGGCTGGGGGACGGGGGACAACAACAGACATGACAGAGAAGATGAGAGACGATGAGATAGAAAGACGAGAGTAAGAGGATGAGGTGATGAGAGGAAGACGAGAGTAAAAAAGTTACTTTTTTTTTTTTTTAATTTCCTATGTAGCTAGGATGATCTTGGACTTCCTGCCTCTACCTCCCAGTGTTAATAGGGAGCATTGTGCATGGTAAGGAAAGCACTCTTCAAACAGCTGCATCATCAACTCACATCTATTCTTTAAGTTATCAGGACTATTTCATCAGGGGCTGGAGAGATGGCTCAGCAGTGAAGAGCACTGGTTGTTCTTCTGGAAGACCCAGGTTCAGTTTGCAGCACCACACAGTGGCTCACAACCATCTGTAACTACTCCCAAGGGATCTGGTGCTATCTGGGTCTGTTGGGCACACTATGCAGGTGGTGCGCACAGACAAACATGCAGGTAAAACTCATATATTAAAAAAAAATGGCAGACAGCTCCTTGCCACACCAAAAAGGACAGACTTTCATCTTCTAAATATTTTCTTTTGGTAGTTTCATATATTACCCATTTTAATATTTTTACATATCAGTTTCTCAAATAAAATTCCTGGGGTTTAACTAGTACTAGCCTCCCCATTTCTCATTCACTCAATCATGTAGCTGAGCTGTGTTTGAAAACCCTGAAGCTCAGGGACAGTCTAAAGCTTGCAATCAAGACCCTTACAGTAGCTGGGCATTGGTGGTGCACACCTTTAGTCCCAGCACTCGGGAGGCAGAGGCAGGTGGATCTCTGTGAGTTTGAGACCAGCCTGGTCTACAGAGTGAATTATAGGACAGCCTCCAAAGCCACAGAGAAACCCTGTCTGGAAAAACAACAACAACAAAAAGACCCTTAACAGTTGCTCTCCCACAAAGAGAGAGCCCTTGCTATTGTGGTAGGCCTGGCAGGGAGGAATGACCATAGGCTCCTAAAGCTACTACTGAACCTTACCTTCCTCAAGAGGGAGCACTCACTTGACAGGGTTTTCACTTGATGTAGTGATGCCATATGAATATGTGGTACATAGTCACTACACTAAATAGATGATGCTGGATTCTGAGAAGCTGCTAGACTGACTAATGTTAATGGGTTGTCATGTCACTGGGAGCCCTGGAAGCATAGGCTATCACATTTCTTCTTAAAAATCTATTTTTTAGTGTTACTACCTGTATATGTATATGCGTACATATACTACAGCACGTGCCGGGGGTGTGTGGAGGTTAGATGATAACTGAACAATAGCTTTGATCTCCTGAGCCAACTTGCCACGCCCCAGCCACTGTATGTTCAGGAAGAGGAGCAACCAACAGGAGCATTCAAGCTACAGATCTCAAGCCACTTGCCTGAGATGTGCTTAAGATGGCAGGGCATAGGCGACGCCATCACCAGTGCTTCACGTATGTGAAGTTAGGCTCCATAAAATCATGTGATATTGAGAAAAGTGACACTCTAGGCAACAAAAGACTTAAAATTTGTGGAAACTGCCAGGTGTTGGTGGCGCACGCCTTTAATCCCATCACTCGGGAGGCAGAGGCAGGCGGATCTCTGAGTTCGAGGCCAGCCTGGTCTACAAAGTGAGTTCTAGGACAGCCTCCAAAGCTACAGAGAAACCCTGTCTTGAAAAACCAAAAAAAAAAAAAAAAAAGAAAAGAAAGGAGTCCTAGCTACTCTTCCAGATGATGAGGAGCTACTTTTTAGGACATATGGAGGCTTACAGCTGCCTACAACCCCAGTCCTAGAGGACCCAATGTCTTCTTAAGCCTCCACTGGCACTAGGCACACACAGACATACAGGCAGGAAAAGACAGCCATACACATTAAAAACAAACATTTGGGAAATCATGTTGGAATGAGAAGAAAGGAAAGCTTGTGACTGGGAATTTCAAGTTGATCTCCATGGTAACCCTTATCCACTTCCTTTCCTTTCTGTTTTCAGTCACTGACACTGCCTTGGTGTCAGGCTCCATTATCTCTTGCTTTCTTGCTAAGGACTCAAGTCACACTCACCTACACCTGTGGAACCACATGGCATCTACAGATCAGAACATATCATTCCTATCCTGCAAAATACAATTCTTGCTGATTGTGGTGGCAAAGGCCTTTAATCCTAGCACTCAGGAGGCAGAGGCAGAGGCAGGAAGACCTCTGTGAGTTTGAGGCCAGCCTGGTTTACAGAGTGAGTTCCAGGACAGTCAGGGTCACATTAAAAAAAAACCCTCAAAAAACAAAAACAAAGTCTACAAACTCTTCAGCCTCATAATAAAGGACTGATGTGCTACCCACGTTTTGATCCCAATGGAACATCTCATCTTTGTCCCACAGCTTTATCTGTCCTCACTCTGCTTTATTCTCTCAGCTTTCCTCATTCAAATCCTTACCTGTGTGTCCTGTTTCTGTCCTTATTTCCTCCAGCATGTGTCAAGCTGCCTCTCTGGCTTAATGTCACACAAGCAAATCTTTCCTAAAAACACGTTGTTTCATCAACTGAGAACTATGTGAAGGGACACAGAAGACCCTTGTGAAAGATTAGGATGAAGGGCATAAGTCACTTACCTGTCCTTTACTTGCAATAGGTAGCAGACCAAGCAGTAGCCAGCACAACTTTGCACAAAATTGCGCTGGGCACTGAGGAATGCCTCAGTGGTATAACTGCCATGTTCCTGTAGGAAGTAATCGAGCAAGGAGAGCTGTGACTGTTTCTTCACCTGATGAATGGACACAGCGTTGACTACTGGTTCAATCATGCCACTGTCGGCAGAAATCACAAGAATCTTATATGGCTTGATCCAAAGAGGCACTCGTTCCTGCTCCCAAATGGACTGTGAAGAGACACAAAGGTACCGAGAGTGGCTCATCTTTCTCCAAACTAGAGAGTAATAAAACTTCCCTCTTCTCAACCTCTCTCCCTTGGTATCTTGGATTGAAGGACATTAAACAAACACGACTCACTGACCTATTAAGAACCAGGAAATTTTCTGTTTGAGACAGGGACTCATAAAGCTCAGGCTAGGCTTGAATTCCTGAACCCTGTCTCCATTTTTCAAATTCTAGGATTACATGTGTATACAATCACGAATAACAGAACCAGGAAGTTTGAAAAGGAAGTCCAAGCTGGGCAGTGGTGGTACACGTCTTTAATCCCAGCACTCGGGAGGCAGAGGTAAGTGGATCTCTGTGAGTTTGAGACCAGCCTGGTCTACAGAGGTCCAGGACAGACTCCAAAGCCACAGAGAAACCCTGTCTGGAGAAACCAAAAAAAGAAAAAAAAAGAAAAAAAAAAAAAAAAGAAAAAGGAAGCCTAAGGCCTGGCAAAGGGAGGAAACTGCATAATGCAGAGGTAGGAAAAAGCAGAAAGAACAGGAAATTTTATTGATTGTCACTTCCTAAGTAGGAAGAGCAGGAGCTATTAATGTAAGTTTGGATAATAAAAAGTCAGGGTTTTAGGGGTTGGAGAGATGGCCTAGTGATGAAGAGCACGGCTGCTCTTCTACAGCACCCAGCACCCACAGGGCAGCTCACACCTGTCTGTAACTACAGTTCCAGAGCTTCTGACCCCCACCCCACATGCAGGCAAAGCACCAATGAACAAAATAAAAGTAAATTATAAAAAGAAAATGAAAATACTACTGGATGTGACAGCATAAGCCTATATTCCCAGCATGTAGAAGTAAGAGGCAGGAGGACCAGGAATTTGAAGCCAACATTGTTTGCAAGCAAAAGTCAGAGGTCAGCCTGAGCTACAAGAGATCCTGTCTCAAAACCAAAACCAAATGCAAGTCCTTAAGCCACGAGTCACACATTCTAACCCTGGAGTTTGGGCAGCCGAGGGGGGAAGTAGTGGCGTGTGGCACCAGGACAGCACTGACACTGACAGTGCAGAGGGTATAATCAAGCAACATGTGGCCGAGGCTACTGAGTGCGGTCTTTCTACAACCCAAAACAAAAACAGAGTTCAAGCCACCTCTACACCTAAAAACCTACAAACAAGCTAGTCAGTGGTGGTGGTGCACACCTTTAATCCCAGCACTTGGGAGGCAGAGGCAGGTGGATCTCTGTGAGTTCAAGGCCAGCCTGATCTACAGAGCGAGTTCCAGGACAGCCAAGGCTGTGTAGAGAAACCCTGTCTCGAAAAACCAAAACAAACAAACCAAAAAATAACCAAAGCAAAAATACAAACAAATATTATAAAGCGCTGGACTGAACAGGTGAAGCCTCTTGCAGGCCACCAACCCAGGGAGATGATGTGGCCAATATCTCAGCACAGTACAGCCAGGGACAGCAGTTCACACCTGCAGTCCTAGTACCCAAGCTGAGGCATGAGGACTGCCATGGATTCAAGGCTAGCCTGAACTACAGAGTGACACTCTGTCTCAGAAAGACAAAGTAAGAGCTAGATAGCTTAGGGTTAAGAGCACTTTCTGCTCTTGCACAGGATTTGGATTAGATCCTAACACTCACAACTATAACTCCAGTTCCAGGGGATCTGATACCCTTTTCTGTCCTCTTATGGACACTGTACATATACATGCACAGAAAACACCCATACACATAAATAAAAATGAATAAATCTTTAAAAACAAAGCTAAACCCCAAATACTTCAGTACAGAGTAAACCCATCTACCTCAGGTCATTTAGGAAGCTCTGATTTAAAGGACAAACCCAAAGCCAGGTGGTGCACACGTACAATCCTAGCACGTGGGAGGTGAGGGCAGAAGATTAGGAGTGCAAGACTACCTTTGGTTATAACGGTTTAAGGCTAGACCCTGTGTGAAATCACACTCTTCAATCATTCAGCAGTCAGCCTAGGGCAGATGTAGTTCCACAAAGGACCAACAGAGTCCACCATAGAGCTGCTCTCACGTGGCTGTCTAACCTCTCCACTGAACCCTGGTAGCAGGCCCCGCAGAGCTCCCGAAGAGAGCTGGTGTGGCCCCTTTCCCCATGTGCTCTGCTCCCTTTCCTCACCTGCAGCTGCTTCAACACCTGGAAAGCCAGCAGCTCCTGCCGAAGGTCATCTCCACACTTGACAATGACTGACAGGAGTCGCCAATTGGGAAGATGGCCATAGGGGGAGCCCTCTCTGATCCTCCTGTGAAGAAAGAAGTCATGTGGTGATGCCCTAGGGCTAAGGACTCCAGACAGCAATGGAAGTCTGATGAAGTGAGCACCTCAAAATGCCTTGGAGCTCTGAGGGGAGAGCCAAGACCACCCTCCTCCCCCTCTACACTCCTCACCGCACTTTCTCCTGCCAGGGCTCTTTGAGGGCGACTGCAGAAGGGTCTTCAGGGTCTCGTTTGAAGGCTGTGGGCGTGTGAGCCAGCTGTTCTGAAAGGCGCCGTCTAGCAGGAAGAAATGTTGCAAGAGTTATCTCAGAGCATCAATGGCTGTGCCCCCTCTTGCCACTGCACCTAGATTCTGGCCCTAGGAAAGCCAGAGGAAAAAGCATCATCAATGGCACTATTTAGCTAACCTGGCAGTTTGTGACCATGCAAAGAACCTGGCTTTCCTCACTCCTCTATCCCAATATTGATTTGGAATGGGTATGATTCTGGAATCTGCACATCCAACAAGGTCTCCTCTCTCCCCTCAAAGTGAAGGATACAATTCTGAGATCTCACTTTGATTCTTGGTTTTGGGTTCGCTCATGGTGCTGGGAACTGAACCCAGGGCCTTGCACATGCTAGTCAAGTGCACCTTTGAGAAATGATGCTCAAATGCCCTCTGAGGCATTTCTTCTTGTTGGAACTCCCTTAAAATGGCATTTCTTTCTGTAGTAGCTCGAGCTATTGCACCTTCACTGTCTCATGTATGGTGACCTCAGGACAGAATATGAGATAAAGGAAAAAGACACAAGACTGACAGATGGTGACTAGGCACAGGAAAGGGATAAAGAGGCAGGCAAAGTCTGGAAAAGAGATGGAAATTAGGGATGATGTGATCTGGCCATACCGGATGTCCCCTGCTGCAATGAACACAGGCTCCTTGCTCTCCTGGCTGGTGATGCTGTCCACCGAGAACTGGGAGATGTTGTCACAGCTGTTGGTGTGCACTTCAGGGAGCTGAGGAGAGCAGGTCAGAGGTGCTAAACACAGATCTCCCTCTTTCCCCCTGCTCACTTGCCACTACCTGTGGCATGCTGGCCTACCACTTCCAGACTGCTCCAAAGCCACCATGGCTACACACCAGTGTGGCCTTCTTGAGTTATGGATCCCACAGTGGTGTTCTTAAAGTATGAACTACTCCATCAGAATTCATGGAGATGCGTAGGAAATGCAGATTCTCAGATCTCACCATCAGTCTAAGATGGAACTGCTGGACATGAAAACTAGAAGCTAAATTTTAGAAAACTTTCCAGAATACCCCCACACCTTAAAGTTTGTACATCACTGACCTCATATTGAAAGCCCCCTATGATTAGGGATGTATTATTCTCCCCTAGATCCTTCCAGACTAGATTTCTTTGACTATATCTTTAATTTTTTTGTTTTGTTTTTTCAAGGCAGGGTTTCTCTGGTTGTCCTGGAACTTGCTCTGTAGACAAGGCTGGCCTGTAACTCTGATGTACATCAGGCTGGCTTGGAACTTACAGATTTCCTGCCTCTGCCTCCCAAGTGCTGGGATTAAAGTTGTGTACTATTAACACCTGGCTTTTTCTTTCTTTTCTTTTCTGTTTGTTTGTTTGAGACGGGGACTCATGTATCTCAGCCTGACCTCAAGTGTACTCGGTAGCTGAGAATGGCCTTAACTTCCTGCTCTCCCTGCTTCCATTTGAGTGCGGGCGCCATAGGTGAGCTGCCACATCCAGCTTCACCTCTTCCGTTTAACCCTCCTCATTTGTCACTAACAGACTCTGGTCTCCTGACCTTCCTTGTAGCAAAGCCGCCTCAGCTCCATCTAACGCACACCGACTTGTGCATCTCCCATTTTCTTCTTAAATGGCGATTTCTAGCCTCAACTTGACTGTAAATAAGATAGAGATCTATCTTTTTCACCAAATGCTGCTACATAAGATCCTGCTTGAGCTTTTTCCCCAGAGCTAGCAGGACTGAATGAGTGCATGGCCTGTCTGTCAGTCAGGGCGTGCCAACCTCTCCAGCCTCATCTGTCACTGCTTCTCACCTCACACGTGCATTCAATGCACAAAGATTTCTTTCACTTCCTGTCACAGGCCATGTTCCGTTTCTCTTCCAGTCTTTGTACACAGTCCTCTGAATGTTCTTTGTTCTGCTAATTCCAGCCATGCTTCAGGCCTTGGCTGAAAGATTACTTCCTCCAGGAAATCTTTTGACTCCCACCCCAAGTCTGGAGTAAATACCAACTTTGGGTGCTTCCATAATGTCCCATGTCCCCACCACAATGTAGGTCACACCATACTACAGCTGCCAGCTGTTTGGTCTGATTCTCTGTTAGGTCGTAAATTCCTTGCAGGTATAAGCCAAGTGTTGTTCACCAGCATACAGTACTCAGGTGTGACACACAGAAAGCCCTCCATGAACATTTTTTTTTTAGTTTTTCAAGAAAGGTACAGACTGGCCTCAAATTCTCTATATAGCTGAGGCTGACCTTGAACCCCAAATCCTGCTTCAACCATTCATGTGCTGGGATTAGAGCTGTGAGTCACTACACACAGACATTAATATTTCTTTTTATATTTATTTTATATATATGAGTGTTTGCCTGTATGTGCACCACGTACATACAATATCGGAAGAGGCCATAAAAGGGCAGCAAGTTTCTCTAAAATTGGAGTTACAGACAGGTGCTGGGGAACTGACCCAATTCTCTACAGGGGGGGGCCAGTGCTCATACTGTGAGCCATGTATCCAGCCCCTTTATGTATATAATTTACTTTTGGTTTTTCAGACAGGGTTTCTCTGTATTGTTTTGGAGGCTGTCCTGGAACTCACTCTGTAGGTCAGGTTGGCCTAGAACTCACAGAGATCCACCTGCCTCTGCCTCCTGAGTGCTGGGATTAAAGGTTTGAGTCACCACCACTCCTTTATTTATTTATTTGACTGAATGCATGCATGGCTTATCAGTCTCTGCTGTCCTAAATGAACTTTACATAGCAGATGTTCCATATATTTTTTATTACATTTCCCTCCTCCTCCTCTAGTCTAGATATTCCTCTTTACATTCCATCTGAATCTCTGTTGCAGGAGAGCAAGCTTGAGCCTATTCCAACCAGCTGTTCAGAGCTGCTCCTTCTCATAACCCTCACTACCTACAATACTCATCTGGGTGCTTGTCACCCTCTGCTACTTATTCCAAGTATTAAAGCTCCCAGAGAACAGGTGCTGCACCCCAGCACGGTGTCCTTGGTGTCCCTCACCTCCACCTGTAGCTCGCCTATATCATCCACCGACCAGGCTTCATCATCATTGTCATAATTGGGCACTGTGCTGAAGCTGCCAGCCCGCTGCTCGTGAGTCATGCCACATTCAGGAAGGTTCTCCACGGACCGTGTGCTCCGAATTCGGTTCTCAGGAATCCGGGCAGGAACGCTAGTTGTGTCGAAGTTTTCACATTCAAGAACTTCCACGTAGATCAGGTAGGGAGCCTGGGGGGGAGTGGGGGAAGAGACAGCTACGACCGCCTCCTAAGTTCCACTGACACAGTTCTTCTGTTCCATCCCTCAACAGCAGCCCTTATTACCGTGAGTGACATGCACAAGTAGGAACATGTGCTATCACCCGCATAAAACATTTGCGGAGGGGCAGAGGCTTCCAAGCTGTCATCAGGGCTTCAAACGTATACATGCAACTGGGAAAAACTATTCCAACTATCAACGGCAGTTGAGGGTCTGTGGGCTTATGCTAAAGTCAGGGCCCAGGGACATAGACACAAACTGGATAAAGCAAGACATGTCCCACGGAGAATCCTAATTTCCAATTTCCTGAGAGGAGAATCTGAACCATGAGGACAATCATTCCTATAAACATACAAACAGTTTCTTTTCTCTAGTGTGTACTGGGCATATTTCTTCCCTTTCTTCCCACTTTGATCAAAAAAGTCTTAATAAAAGTGTCCCTTTACTCACTCACATGGTGCTTGTACCTGGATAGCCTGAAAGTCAGAGGAAGGCCACAAGAGTCACCCAAGGAGGGTGAGTAGTGGGTGGAAAGCCACTTTCCTTAAGTACGGCACAAGGTAAACTGAAATTATTAGGCTACTTTGGCCCATAAAAGCAAAACCCAAGAAAGTCAGGCAGGAGGTTTCTCAGGTTCTGAGCACTGTAAGAGCAATGAGGAGGCAGAGTAAGGGTGAACACATGTGCCATAAACTACATGCTGGCAGGGAACAGCCTGAGTAATCATGGAATGCAGTCAGATGAGGGAAGGGACTGGGCCAGAGCTCACTTACCTTGTCCTTGGAATTGAGGACAACAGCTTGTGTGTGGGGCACACGGACCACGTGGTGGTCAAAGCCAGCAGTGGGCAGCCAGACTCGGGCAGGGAGTTTATGGTTGAGCAGGGAGAGCTCTGAGATCAGCCTTTGTGTTTTCTGTTCCTTAGTGGGGAGCGTGGCCAGTCGTTTGCCAATGGCCATCAAGGACTTGATGAATTCTCGCTCAGGGGCCAGCCGGACAGGCTACAGAGGGTTGGGATGAAACAAAAGACGGTAAAGAAGACATTGAAAAATGTAGCCTATCCCTCTTCTTTGCTCCTGGCCAGGGCCTCAGTATTTGAAGAACCTCAGGAAAGAGACTACCTTTGGCCATGGTAGGAGTTTCCACCCTACCTCTCTCAGCTTGAACTGGGAAGGACCAACAACACATGCCTTCTCTGAAAGCTGCTTCCTGGGGACTCAAGATGGCCTGAACTCAGCTCACTGGGACAGAACTCTTTTCTTCTTGGACCTGACCTCAAAGACTGCCCCAAGTCCTTAGTATGATCTAGAAAGGCCACCCAGGACCTCAGACATTAGAGCTCACACCTTTACTTATCTCAAGAACAGGGTTATCCCTTCTCTTATCTGGGCCCTCAGGTTGGCTCTATGCTGAAGGGCTCTGCCAGGCCCCACAAGACTAGGGGAAGAGGCTTGCATTAGTATTTCCCCTTTCAAAGAAGGAAGATGCTCATCTCCAAACTTCTGTTGTTCTCCATGGCACACCCCTGACTGCTCCCCATTCTCGTATGGGCTAAGTACACAAGCAGGAGATGAGAAGAGAATGAGCAAACTATATACAGTGAGCACATAACCATGGAGAAAAGGCAGGTAGAGGGCAGTGCACAGGGGTGGATGGAGAAGCAATAGCCTCTTTTAGCCTTTAGCCCTCTGAAGGCCTGTCTCTAGCAAGCCCTCCGTGGGTCCTCTTCCCCTGCCTTCTAGAGACTAGACTCCCCATTTTAGTTCCCCGTGGTAAGCTTGGTTCCGTATGCCAGGTATTTGAGCAGTTCCCAGAAAGGGCAAGGTAGGATGGGGAGAAGGATGGACTCAGACATGATTAAGAGCTCTACTAGTCTAAGCCTGCCTACCACAGGGAGCCTGTGTCAAGACAGCCACAAAGCTGGGCAGAGAGGCGAACATCTCTAATCCTAGCACCTTGAAAGGCACGGCAAGGAAGATTACAAGTTGGAGGCCAGCTTGGGCTATAGCAAAGAACCTGACTCAAACAAAACTTCCATATGCTGGGCATAGTGACTCACATTCTAGCACTTGGGAGGCTTAGGTAGGAGGATTGTCACAGATTCCAAGCCAGCCTGGGTTAGTGATTACTAGGTCAGCCAGGACTATATACCAAGATCCTGAAAAATGAAGATATTTACTACACAATTCCATATCTCATGTCTCCTCACCTGTGCAAAACAATCTTTCTTCTTATTGGAATAGGATTTCATTTACCAGGCTCCCCCACCCCTTGCTTTTTTTTTTTTTTCCAAGATAGGGCTTCTCTGAGTAATAGCTCTTGCTGTCCTAGAACTCTCTCTGTAGACCAGGTTGGCTTCAAACTCACACAGATCCGCCTGCCTCTGCCTCCCAAGTGCTGGGACTAAAGGCGTGCGCCACCACTGCCTGGCTTCTCTCCCTTTCTATTTGCTTTTTTATTTTTGGAGATGGTCTTGCTCTGTAGCCCTGTCTGGCCTGGCGCTCACTATAGACCAGGCTGGCTTTCAGCTTACAGAAACCCTCCTGCTTCTACCTTCTCAGTCTGGGATTAAAGATGTGCACCACTATACCATGCCTGCTTATTTTTCTGATTGGCAATTCTACCCTTACTGCTCATACCACAAGAAAGAAAAAGAAAAAAAAAAAAGAAAAAGAAAGAACAACATATTTTGTTTCTTTTCTTTTTTTTTACAAAATTTATTTGAGCCTTCTTTTGTTAATGAAAAAAATGTTTTGAGAATTTCATACATGAATATAGTATACTTATATCATTTCTACCCTTCTCATGTCCCTCCTACTCTTTTTGAATTCATGATCTCTTCTATAATGAAAATTATTTTTTGAAAGTAGATTTATTCAGAGTTTGGAAACACTGGGAGCAGAAAGACCCAGTTTCTTTCCACCTTTTCTGTAATAGTGTTACAATATTATAAAAAAGATGAAACTACTGGGCATGGAAATTAATTTTGTTTTTGAGACAAGGTCTAACTGTGTACAGTTGGCCTACACCTTTGCTCTGTAGATCAGGTTGGCCTCAAACTCACAGAGATCCGCCTGCCTCTGCCTTCCAAGTGCTGGGACTAAAGGCGCACATCACCACACCTAACTAATGGTTTAGGGAATTACTTTATGTGTGTGGATGTTCTGTCTACATGCCTGTGCACCATACGTGTGCCTTGCCCATGGAGGACAGAAGAACACCGGTATCAGTCCTCTGAGACTGGACTTACAGGTGGTTAGGAGTCATCATGTAGGTGTTGGAAGAGCTCTCAACCACTGAGCCATTTTCCCAGACTCTTCCTATTGTTTATCCACCTTTTACTAAGTCCAATTAGTGTTGTACATACATAAAAGTTTTCATGGCTGACAATTTAGGATTGGGAGACCTGTCATGGGGCTCATTCCTAGCGAAAATGGATTCTCTCTTCCCTAGCAGCTACTGATGGCTGTAGCATTTCATCTAGGGATGGGGCCTGGTGAAGTTTTCCCCGTCCAGAAACTTCTTGAGAACTGGGCAACACCATGTTCACCTGCACGTGTGGGGAGTCAGGCCCAAAGGAGCCACACAGCCTCTGCTTCATGATGGGAGGAGGAGCACTGGCTTAGCGCCCTGCACAGCAGCAAGGAAGGGAGCTTTAGGGCAGGGTTCAGGGAGAAAAAGAAAAGGGAATTGAACTTCAAGGACCTCTAAAATATCCTGGGGGCCTAACACACCAAAAAAAAGAATGAGGCCGGTGGGTGGGGGATTGAGATCTGGAGACTCATGCCTCTATCCTGATCCCTGAATTCATCCACTCAGGTGGCAGAGGGTCACTGTCCAAAGGACCCTCCACCCAACCAATTCAGCCGTCTCATGTTAGCAAAGGCAGGACGCTTTTCCAGCCTCCAGCCAGCCTTCCAGTTGTAGACCCCTATGTTACCTAACCACACTGGATACGACCCCAGGCCTCCAAAAACGAGGCTCTGCCACATGGGAGGAGAAGGGATCATGATTAAAAGGAGATCAGCACAGAAAATAGAAAACAGAGTGGGTAGGTAGACAAAGAATAAAATGTAAAAAAAGTTTTTTTTTAATTATCCAAACTCCCAGAGGGTCCAGCATTTCCTCTCACGTCTTTGCCCAGGAACAAGGTCTAAGACCCTGCAGCACCAGAGGGTCGTGGGTTAGTCCAGAGGGAATAAGAAAGGAGAACAGGGATGAAGGGACATCCTGGGCCGTGGGCTGGGGAAAGGAAGAACTCAGACTTGGAAGAAATGAAGTTAAAAAGCACAACCAGTTGTGGGAAGGTGACACTTTCCCTCAGGCTAGCTCCTGTTTGGTTTTGGAGTTGGCTCAGCCAGCATAGAGCCTAACTTTTAGAACCCTGAAAAAGTATTTGATGGGCTGTTGGCAGAAGTCGTGGGGAAAGGTTTCTCGGTGGGAGAAATGGGATCCTGGAGGTTTCTGCCCAGCAGTCCTTGGCTCTAATCCAGGAATAAATTCTACCTGTCCCAGCTGTTTGCTCCAGAGACTAGGAGCAGAGTAACATTCCAGCTGCTGTCTTTGAGTAAAGAATCAGCTGAGCCTGTCTGGGCCAGAGCTCAGGGCACTGGCAGCAAAGCTCAGAGGGAGTGCCTCCAGGTCTGGAAGCCTGGTAAGGAGAGGCAAATCTCCTGGAATTAAAGGGGCCTTCACTGGTCATAGAAGACATGGGACGGAGAGGAAATGCGGCCACATGGGGAGCCTGCCACCCAGTCCCAGCCTGGCCCCACTTACGGAACTGAATGAATTATCAATACTCTCGGTGCTGGAGGAGAGCTCCTGGGAAAGGGCCAGAGGGCAAGGGGAAAAAGGGGTGGGGTTGGGGGGAAGGGAAAGAGACAAAGGCAAAGAATTTAGCTCCAACTTGGATCATAACTGCTTCTCTTGTGCAGCTATATCTTTCTGCTTTAGTGAGAGATGGTCAGCCTGGAAATGCCACTTGCCAGAGTCTATCTGTGGGATGCTGGAAGGCTAGCTCAGACCTTGAGATCAAGCGTTGAAGGCCAAGACACCTTGTTTTCTATTTTATCTCCTATTCTAGCCTGAACAAACCTTCCTTTTAGATCAAAACCCTAGAGCTGGCTCCCTAGTGCAATGACTGCCTGGCCAAGGTTCATTTCTTTCCTATCACCCACTCACATTCTCTTAACCCCTTCTCCACAGGAGCAACCACTAGCTGCATGACCCCTGTACTAGAAAGTCTGTTCCCCTAGTTTCTTGGCAATCTCAGGAAGAGCTAACCTTTCAGGTGTACTGAAAGGGATCAAGATAGAGGCATCTTAGTCAGCCTCATGATCACCCTAGGAAGCCTAATCCCAACCTTGAACCTGTGTGGCAAAGGGCATCCCAGACCCATGAACCTGAAACCTGTGACCTGGACGGATGCTCACATATGTGTTAGTTTCATAAACATCCAACCTCCCGCTTCCAGTCACTGAATACATTATGATTTTGGATGATGTTGGGACAATTAGGTCCTAGCTAAATCTATCCAAGAGAGCTAATTAGCAGGGCAGTAGCAGTCTTGATACCAGCCCAAAGTCTGGATCCTAGTAATCTAAACTTTACCCCTGTTGAGTACAGTGACACACACCTGTAATCTCAGTACTTGGGAAGTCGAGGCAGAAAGCTCAAGAAAGAGTTCAAGGCTGACCCAGGCTACATACTGAGAGTTTTTCTTAGGAAACAAACAGAAAACTAAAAAAAAATACACTTCACCCTTCCCTTTCAGTCAGTCGATATCTAGGAAAAAGGAGGGGCAGCTCACTCAGCAGTTGAGGAGCAGTGTTCATACACTGGTCTTCCTGGGTTCTGTCCAACACAGTCTACCAGGACAGGCAGCAGATACAGAACGTGTGCATAACGCAGGACGGGAGGGGAATGGACTAAGAGGCAGTCTTAGCGTTTCCAGAGCGAGAAGGCAGCGGGCACTGTACTTCTTCTCTACAGTCAGCATTTCAAACATCTGCTTAATTCAGTTCAATGGCTGAAGTTCTTCTCGCTAAGGTGCTACTGCTGGGTTTTCCTTTATGAGACTGGGCAGGAGAGCATTTACAGTATATAGCTGCACTTGGAAACACCCCACTGAGATCACAACTCTTCTACTTTGGGTAGAAGTAGGAGGGAGGGTTGAGACAGCGAGGATGGCAGAATGTGTTATAACCTACAGGCTCAATTCTACACCTAAGCTAGTTGGGGAAGAGTAACAGGCAGGAGGATGGCTCTAGTTGATCCTCTCCCAGACAGGACCGACTGGACTCATTAATGTCCATGGCAGGCAGGAGGATATCATGATCTGTTTCTCCTCCTACTCCCTAGGCCTGAGTCACTTGTACTGAGTCAGCTTCAGGGAGTAAAGCTGAAGCCAAGAGCTGACATCACACCCTTATCAGGCTGGAAGGGCTTCCATGTGACGTGCAGCAGATTTCTCTGTACAAAGGCTACACCCCTGAAAAGACAAAGCTATCTATTTGGAATGACATTATGTAGGGAGATGGAACTAGGGGGTGGTACCTAAACTACTCTCTGATCCTTGTGCTCCACCCCCCACTCTATGCCAAAATATTTATCATTTGGCTACAAATAGGAAGGAAAATTGACTGACAAGGAGTGCTCTGAAGGTTGGGCTTGGGTGTGTGTGTGGCAGATGTGAGAAATCAATGCTGGAACCCTTTATGGGAAGCATGAAGGAATCCTCATAAGAAATGGAAACTTCTGAGATCTGACCAGTGAAAAAGAGCTTTGTAGGGAGGCTCCAGACAGAAAGTAGCCCTGGGCCTCTTCCCTAAGGTCTCACCTCACTTCTCTGGAGCTTCTCCACAGTGGGGATGGGGGGAGCATGGGGATTAACTAGAACCCAAAGGAAAACAGACTGTGAACAGAGTGTGTCAGGCCCCACCCAGAAACTCTCCTTCTTTACAAGGTCTTGCTTGGGCTCTAGAAAAATTTGTGGTTTACTTTTAATAAGATATGTATATACTTAGTGCTTCTGGAAAGAACTTTTCAAGAAAGACACACACTGACTAGTTCCTCATATTGGAGCTTTGGTATTAAACGTTATCAGTTCCTAGTCTAAGGACAGTGTTTTATCCTCCATTTTCTGCTGCCTTTGGGACAGAACTCTGCACATTGCACAAGCAACCAGTTATTTAGTGAACCAATGTTTCATGACAAGGGAGGAAGACCAATTCCCCTGGTACCTCAAGCATAAAAGGACTGGCAGAAACTCCACACCTAGAAACCTAGTGGTATTTATGTTTGTGTTTTGTGTTCTCTGTTTCTCTTTCATGCTCACACGTTTCCCAAGGAGCCTCAGTGGATTCAAGTGTCTCACTCTACCAGTATCAGATAACCCAGGAGGGCCTGGGGAAATGCTATCGCCTTTCTTCCCTGGATCCAGTGACCCACGATGAGCCAGGTGGGGAAGAATGGCAACTGGAAAACCCACCCTAGAGATTTAAACACTCACAGAATACCTGCCTCTCAGAGCCATCCATAATCCTGCAGCAGAAGTTAGATGCATAGAAGAGGGACCCCAGACCAGCATAGGGTAAGAGAAACCCTAAGGCCTCTGCTTTTCTGGTCCTAAGATGCAGACTAAAAAATAGATACAGGGAAAAGTCAAGCTAGACAAGAGGCACCAATGAATTCCCTCCCAGATGTTCACACTCACTCTGACCAGATCTGATCTTAGACGAGGCATCTCTCTCAGATAAGCTCAAGCCCTTCAGGACCTCAGTTCTACCAAAATCTGGAGGATTCTTTTTGCTCTGCAATGCCCTCCCTTCCTAGACCCTGGACTCTGCTTCAGAGCAAAACAGAAATGAAGACAGTCCACTCAGTTCCCATAATAGCTTGGGCTTTGGCTATACATGGGTGTGGAAATGTAGACCGACACATCCTGGGCTCCTCCCCGTTAACTTTCTTACAGCTGGATCTAGGGAACTAGAGGCAGCTCAGGTGAGTGACTATGAGCATGAACTATGGACTGGGTTCCTGGCCTAACAGTCACTAGTTGAGTGACCTTAGTAAAGTTATTTAACTTCTCTAATCCCAGTTTCTCACGGGTAAAATCACACCAGTTAGAGTTGTGAGGATTCTACATACATTACTTAGCATGCTGTCTACCATATCAATGGTCAATTAACATTGGCACATTTAACTTCAGTATTGAAACACATTTCCAGGGAGAGCAGGCTCTGAATTTCCCTTGCCTACTGCTTTTCCATTCTCTAGTCACTCTGACTTCCCTCCACTTGAAAGAAACTTTACTGTAGCAAAAATGTGGGTGGTTTGCACTCTACAGAGTCAGATGCCAAGACTATGGGCATATATATTCCAACAGTGCAAATTCTTCGTTTTTTTTAATACCTTCTTTTCTAGGCTTGGCTAGCAGCCAGGATGGGAGCTTGCCAACAGTGAATCAGAGATGAAAACTGGAGTACCATTAGTCTGAAAGGGACACCAGGCCATGGAACTTGGTCATCCACTGGGCACCTTTCCCCACTATCTGCCCAGATGTATAGTAGATGGTGGCACTAAGCTACTGACCACTCTCTTCCTGCTCAGTATCAACATTAGACAGCCTGATGCTGCTGAGTTTCCTTTTCTCAGCTCCAGCTCCTCAACCAGGCATTAGACTTACTCTGCCAAGCTTATTTCTCTCATCCCTTTTTGTTGATCTCAAATGAAGGCAGTATATTCTGCTGAGGCCCCACTGATAGAGAATAAACTTTACCCTATGTTAACAAAAAGTAGAATCTTTGGGGAGTGAGGGAAAGGAATTATGAGGAACGGCCAGGAGAAGCAGCTAACGTGCTAGTGAGCATCCTTTCTCTTCCAGCAAGAAGAGCACAGCCTGTTCCTTCTCTGTGGCTGGCTACTGCGACCTCAGCTAGGTCAGGTCTCAAGCAGGGTCATCAGACCTGTGTCACAGTTCTTAGTATGTGGCTAATGGAATGACAACACAGTAGTGAAAGCCAACTCTCGGACAAAGTCAAGAGTATCAGCCCTACCATTAGCTAGATGACCTGTGGCAAGTCACTTTATCTCTTCTAGTCTCTGTGTTTTTCCTCTGTAAGATGAGGCCATTGGAATACATGAATTCTAAGGTCTTTTTCCATTCTAACATTCCATGCTTCTATCAGTGAAATGAAGCAGAAGGGAGGACAGAAAGTAGAGTAACCCCACGTAAGACATCCTGTCTCCATGCAACCCTCAGACACCTTGCCAATCTGCCCCTCTCCCAATTTACCTCATCCTCATTCTCCACTTTAGGGTTGCTGGCTGTTCGTTTCAGGTTGCTGCTGAGACTTATGCTGGCCGTAGCATCTGATTTAGAGCGCTGGTGAGTCCTTTTGGAGGGAGACAGCCCTGTGTCAGGGGCTGGGCTCAAAGACGGCAGTTCCCTCTTTCGGTGAGCTGGCTTCAGCTCATCTGAGAGGATTAGCTTCCGTAACTTGGTCCCTCGAGAGTGTCGTTGAGTGGAAATGTGCATGTCTGAAGAGTAGGCCCCAAGCAACAGGGCACACTGGAGGGAAAAGTTGATGCTCTGGCGACATCGGTGGACTATGTAGGGTTTAATGGCATCACCCACGTCCTCATCCATGTGAATATACATATTTAGCAACTGGGGCAAATAGAAGTCCACATCCTCATTGCGAAAGCAGAAGAGGCGGTTGCCAATGTAGGCTTGCACTCCAGGCTCCTTGGAGTTATACAAGTATGAAATGGCCATAGAGATGTCAAATAGTTTTGACTCAAACAGTCTCAGGAGCCAAGACTGTTTGGCTGAGTTGTTCTGTCGTCGTCTTCTTGCTCCTTTGGCTGTGCCAGAGGCCACAGTGGCCCCCATCTCATCTTCTTCCTCCCTGATCTGGGCTGGTGGATCATCTAGGCAACGGATCTCATTGTCCACACCATCCCCATTAACCAACTCCAGCGAGGTGCCTTTGCTAGAGATGGCTACACCCCCATGCAAAAGCTTGACTTTCTCCAGCACCTCCTGGCAGGCCTTCTGGGCCACCTCAGGGTCAATCACTGATAGTTCCCCGACCCCCTCCGTGATGACGCTTAGCAAGGTGCCCCCGTTATTCCCTGATGGACTAGGAGTAGGGTCAGAAGTTGGTTTCAGGGTGGCAGGCTCCACTACCATGTCTCCCATGGCTACAGCCAGACTTGGAGCTTCCAAGCTAGAGGAGGGGGAGACAAGAACAGAAAGGGACACACACACACACTGGTTAGTGGTGCCACATTCGGGTCTTCCTGAAGCTTGCCCAAGCACCTCCTCCTCCTGTCTTCCTGCACTCAACAGAAATTTGCCCTCACTACCTCCAATTCTGATCACTGCACACTCTTCATTCCTTCTGTACTTACTCAAACTAGCCTTGGTGCTTAGCTTATATGTGCAAAATGCTGTTTCACATGTGATATGGTTATACAGTCTTATACATTTTTCAGTATACTGGGGAGCAACTCGGGTCTTATTCCCTTTAACTCTAAATACTTTTTACTTGTTCTTCCTGTATCACCTTCAGATGCCTGTGGTGATACTTTTCCCTTTCCTATTTAAACTATTATCTCTTTATTCATAACATATTTCACACACAAGTTCTCTGCCTCTCTGTTTAGTATCAAAGCTGTTACTGTCTTCTGAGATAATCTTACACTATAGCCCAGGCTGGCCTTAAACTTGTAACAATCCTCTGGCCCCAGCCTTCCAAGTACTGGAATTACAGGCACTAGTTACCACTCCTGCCTTTGGTTACAGAAACTCTTCCTTTCAGACACGTAGTGCCCGGGGAATAAGAGCCAGCAATACTATACTATGCTTCACTTAGTGGAGAACACCTCTCAAACAGCCATCATCAACCTTGCAGAAGCTGCACCATTTTTCTGCGTGTCTGCTTCCTGACACCATACCCTTGCTCTATGTTTATAAGCCATAAAAATTTAAATACACCATGTATCTTCTGTTTCAGTTTCTTCAACTGCAAATTGAGAAAAAAAATAATTACTTCACATTGCTGCTGAATAGAAGAAAAACATAAACTTATGTGGATGAAATGATTTAATAGTTCCTGGCACGAGGTAGTATTCAATAATGCTAGCTGAATTCTAACCCTGAAAAAAGTTACTAAACAGTGTATGCATATATACTATTATTTTATAAAGGATGTGAATTGCATTAGTCATTTGGGATTCTTTAAAAATTTATGACCACCTTTCCCTACCCCTTACCATGTAACTTCCCCACTATTATGTACAAACTCTAGGACTGGAAGGCTGTAATAAGACAAGAAGAAATCAGGGTTCATGGGTCTATGATTTCTAAAAAAAAAAAAAAAAAACAGGGATACACAGGAATTGAAACCCAGATCCCTCTGAATGGACTTGTGGACATAGTCAGAGAACAATGATGGTAAAAATCATTGCCTCCAAGCCTTGAGTATCACCAAACCAGATGAGGAGAGTCAGCAAAAAGCAGAAGGGATTTCAGGGTGATACAGATTAGGAGAGGTAAGTCTAGAATATTTTGTCAGATGATTCTGGTTTCAGAATCTGGAGACAGCCATCAGTAGACTCAGAGGCCTCTTCCTAAATAAAGAGAGCATCTAATGTACGCTCTAGCTGGGCATGGTGGTGCACACCTTTGATTCCAGCACTCAGGAGGCAGAGGCAGGTGGATCTCTGTGAGTTGGAGGTCAGCCTAGTCCACAGAGCAAATTCCAGGACAGCCAGAGCTACACAAGAGAAATCCTGTCTCCAAATAAACAAAGAACAACAACAAAAAAAGGGAAAGTAAGTCATTTCCAAGTGTTTTAGAACATTAATCTTTGTTCTAATGAGGGTAGAAAAACAGGTCCCTGGTATATGTTTTTCTGGTCACTCTGAAGAACTTTTATTTCTTTTTTCCCCAGACAGGAGTTTCATAAATTTCACTATATAGCTCAGGATGGTTTAAACTTTTGATACTTTTGCCTTCATATCCCAAGTGCTAGGGTTAGAGGCATGGGCCACTATGCCTGGTTGGACTGAACCCAGGGCTTCATACATGTTAGTCATGCAGTCTACCACTTAAGCTACATCTCCAGCTGCAGAAGGCCTAACTTTCTACCACCTTCCTTCCATTGATGCTTTCACCTCTCAAGTGTTAAGTGTTAAGATTACTTTCATTTGCCCAATATCACACAGTCCAGTATTTTGCCTCCCAGCAGTTAGTACCAAAGCTTTGCAGAGACTCTTAGATACCAACAAAAAGGGATGCTGTAGTTAGTGCATCTTTCTCCCAACTCCATTGAGTAAGAAAAAATCCCTGCACTTCCTGATGAAGTCTGGGCTTGGTATCGGTGGCAAAGTGGCAGCCTTTCTTTCCCTCTGCTCTCCTGAGCAGCAGAACCAGCATAGCTGCCTCTGTGGGTCTGCCTCTAATGGCAGCTGTGCACTGCACAGGATAGTAACACAGCAGCTCTGATCACTCCCTGCCACACCTCTGTAGGGCATTCTCATGATTGGGACCTTTGCCTTTTGGGTCTTCTAGCCTCCACCAACTCTGTTCATGCCCGACTCATCCTTTTCTTTCCTATCCCAAAGGCTTCTAAGCCACAGAGCTCCTAAAAGTCTGCTTTTCAAAGCCTTAAAGGGGATGTGGTATAGGGTGCAGAGCTGTAACCCTGAGAGGCAGAGGCAGGAGGATCAAGAACACACGGCCATCCTCAGTTATATATCAAGTCCAAAGCCCAGATTACATGGATAATCTAAAAAGGAAGCAAAAAAATTTAAAGGGATACTGAGAGTATAAGCTTGGAAGCAGAGGAGTGTTTAACAAAGCCCTGTGTTTGATCCCAGGCACCATTAAAACAAAGACAACCACTGGCCTGTTTAATCGAGAGGCAGAGTTCAAGGCCAGCCTAGTCTACAAAGTGAGTTCTAGGACAGTCAGAGCTCAAAAAACAAAGCAAAACAAGCCGGGCGTTGGTGGCGCACGCCTTTAATCCCAGCACTCGGGAGGCAGAGACAGGCGGATCACTGTGGGTTCGAGACCAGCCTGGTCTACCGAGTGAGTTCCAGGACAGGCTCCAAAACAATACAGAGAAACCCTGTCTCGAAAAACCAAAAAAACAAAACAAAAACAAAAAAAACAAAGCAAAACAAAACAAAAACACCATCCCCCCAAACTTCCAAGGAAGATGAAGTTCAGTCACCCTCATACATGGGAGCATTTTGGACTTCAAAGGAAATAATTTTCCTGTCCCAATTAATTGGAATTGTGTTCATTGCTGGCACCAGGAAGGCAGGTAAAGATACCATTATCCCATAAGCAAAAGAAGATGATCTTTCATGGCTCAACAAGGAATCCCACAGTGAGCAGACTCCCCCACCTGCCCAAGAAACCAGATGCTATCAACAGGAGCAGAAAAAGCCAAGCACAGGGCAGGTAATAGGCTCAAGGGATAGAAGCACTTTCCACACAAGCCTGGTGGCCTGAGTTCCATCCCCTGAACCTAAGGCAGAAGGAAAGAGTCAAGTCATCAAAGTTTTCCTCTCACCTTCACACGCATGATGTGGTGTGTGTGCACCTCCCTCCCCACCACACACGTATTTTTTTTTAAAGGCAGGGCATGGTGTTGTATGCCTGTAATCTCAGCCCTTGGGGAGTAGAGGTAAGAGGATCAAGAGTTCAAAGTCATCTTCAGCTACTTAGTTGAGTTGAGCCCAGCTTGGGCTTTAAGAGACTACTGTCAAAACCAAACTATATATATATATAAATAAAACAAGCCGGGTGTTTGTGGTGCACGCCTTTAAAAAATCCCAGCACTCAGGAGGCAGAGGCAGGTGGATCTTTGTGAGTTCAAGGCCAGCCTGGTCTACAGAGCGAGTGTCAGGATAGGCTCCAAAGTTACACAGGGAAACCCTGTCTCGAAAAAAACCAAACCAAACCAACCCCTCTCCCAAACTAAACCAAATAAAAAAATCAGGGCAGATAAGCCCAACTTCTGTTTATATAAAAGCATCTCTACTTGGCTATATAAGCATACCACCTGGCTCGTGGGTACTCAGGGACCACAAGTCAGAATAGAGTTAGATCATATCGGCAATTAAGATAATAGAAACAGAGACTGAAAAGATTATCCAGATGGGAAAATGCATGTTCTTCAAGCACAAGGACCTGAGTTTGATCTCCAGAACCTATGTCAAAATGCCTAGCAGAGTAGCATACACTTGTGATCTCCAGTGCTGGGGAAACAAAGACAGGCAGATCCCTAGGATTTGCTGTCCAGTCAGTTTATTGTACTTAGCCAGGTGCAAGCTAAGGAACTCCTGTCTTTTAGAAAAAGTTGTTGGGGTGGTGGTGGTGGTGCACGCTTTTAATCCCAGCATTCAGGAGGTAGAGGCAGGAGGATCTCTGTGAGTTCGAGTCCAGTCTGTTCTACAGAGATAGTTCTAGGACACCCAGGGCTATAAAGAAACTCTGTCCCTGAGAAAAAAAAAGAAAAGTTGTTGGTCAGCATTTGATGAACAACCTGAAGTTGTCTTCTGGCCTCCACATATATGTACGTACACACAAATAAGCATATATGGACAGAGACACATATACATGAGTAGCAGAAATAAGGTATTCTCCAAAATCTAATTCAAATATTATTTCCAACATTAATTTCTTCATCTATAACTGCAATAAAAGTAAACCTTGGAACATGAACTATTCTGAAGAAAGTAAAAGGATTAACATAGAGCAACAAAAAAAGGAGGAGAAAAAAAGTCTTGCATTTATCACTCTTCTTCCTACAAGCCATAGCATCCATACAGCTGAGGATCTACGTCACACTGGGAGTCTAAACTCTGTTAAGATAGACTGGAGGGAAAAAGAAGAGGCCTCCTTGTCTGAGCCTCGCAGCCTGGCTACTAGGAAAGGAGGAGAGGCCTGTGTTGGCAACTGTGCCCCATGGAACAGGTCAAGGTAAGCATGATGGGTAATCTTAAATCAACTTCATAGGATTTAGAGTTACCATGGAAACAGCTTGTCTTGAGGGACTTTCTAGATGAGGTTAATTGAGGTGGGAAGACCCAAAATATTGGAGGTTGCATTCCATGGGCTGTGGCCCCAGACTGGATCAAAGGCAGACAGTAAGCTACCTCTGACCATTCATGGCTTTCTCTGTCCTTACTGCAGACACAAAGTAACCAGCCGACTCACTGCTGATGGCTCCACCCACTGTGAGGGACGGCAACCTCAAACTGTAAGCCCAAAGGAACTCTCCTAGAAGGTGCTTTTGTCAGGCATTTTGTACTAGCAATGAGAAAAGTAACTAATACAGTAGAGAAAGTCTAAATACCAGGGTACAGAGCACCTTCTGAAGCGGCAGAGAGGGTAGACACATATGTGCTTGTGGGCCTGAGCAGTTATGTCTACAGAGGACTCTAGAGGGGACATTATCTCTTTTTTTTTTTTTTTAAGATTTTATTTATTTATTATGAATACAACATCCTGCCTCCATGTATGTCTGCACACCAGAAGAGGGCACCAGATCTCATTATGGATGGTTGTGAGCCACCATGTGGTTGCTGGGAATTGAACTCAGGACCTCTGGAAGAGCAGTCGGTGCTCTTAACCTCTGAGCCATCTCTCCAGCCCGGGACATTATCTCTTAACCAGGCTGTCTTCAACAGAGTGCCTCAAAAACTCTGTGCAGGCAACTTTCCAAAAGTTAATGAAGAAGGTCTTCATGAAAAGACTTACTGGACTGGCCTTTCAAGAAAGATGGCACCAAGCCAGGTGGTGGTGGTGCACGCCTTTAATCCCAGCACTTGGGAAGCAGAGGCAGGCGGATCTCTGTGAGTTCGAGACCAGCCTGGTCTACAAAGCGAGTTCCAGGACAGCCTCCAAAGCCACAGAAAAACCCTGTCTCGAAAAACAAAACAGAAATTAAGGCAGGCAGGCAGGCAGGCAGGCAGGCAGGCAGGCAGGCAGACACCAAGTCCCAAATCAGTTCCTTACTCAGTCACCATTACTTCTTCAAATCTTTTACTATGCATGATAAATGTGAACTGCTTCACACCAATCCTGATGCTTTAACATACTCAGAATTTTCACAGAATGACTTGCTATGTTTTGTTTGTTTGTTTGTTTGAGACAGGGTTTCTCTGTGTAACAGCTCTGGCTGTCCTGGTATTCACTCTGTAGCCGGGCTGGCCTCGAATTCATCTGCCTGCCTCTATCTTCCGAGTGTGGGATTAAAGGTGAGCACCACCACCACCTGGCACACAGAATGACTTCTTAGAACTCATCTTGTGTAGGGCTCTTCTTCCAGGCATGCAGGCCAGCTCAATTTCCTTTCTTTTAAGATCCTCTGAGATGGGTCACCAAAGTGGAAAAGAAGATAAAGGAGCTAATATCTTACTGTATGAGGTGTAGTTAAAGTTCATGGAAAAAGAAGGTTTACCTAACATGAGTAAGATTCTGGGTTTCAATCCCCAGCAAACCCAATCCAAGTTACTGGAAAAAGAAAGGCTCAGATGGAAACAAAAATAATGTCATAATTACCCAAACAAGTATAAATCCTCTATAATCAAACCTCTAGAGTTAAGAAACAAGCATTTAAGTGCTACGATAATAAGCTCTGAATAGAACTTTATGCTGAGACAATTAAAGAGGCTAGCTCTGATTTGAGGGAGTATGAGTACAGATGAAGGGAAAGGGACTGTAAGTTTTGATCATAAATTCCTACACTCCTATTGAATATTACCAAGTACATGTACTCCTTTAACGGCAATTTTTAAAAATAGGCTGCTCTTCAAAAGGGGCCCTATCTCATCCTAGGCTGTTTGTTCTGCTGTTAAGAAGTTCCTTGCTGGGACTGGAGAGGCGGCTAAGCAGTTACAAGCAGTACGTGCTCTTGCAGATGACCTGGGTTGAGTCCCAGCACCCACATGGTGGCTTACAACAATCTTTAACTCCAGTTCTAAGGGAACAAACATCCTCTTCTGGCCTTCACAGGCAATAGGTACATATGTGGTCCATGGACACACAGGCAGGCAAAACATCCATCAAATAAAAGTTTCCCCCCCAAAAAGTTCCTTTCCATGTCTTAAGGTCTATTATAATCTTTAAGGACTCAGGCTCATCTTTCCCCTTTGACCTTAATGGTCTACTTTTTTTTTTTTTTTTTTTTTTGCAGACACTCTGGATTGAGCAGTCTAGCAAGCTCAAGCCCCACCAGGATCCAAGTATGCTTGCCCAAGGTCTCAAAGAGGGTGGCATCAGGGAAGAGGGCATTCTCAACTACAGCCTTGGGGGAAGGGCAGTGGTCTCACAGTAGTTAGGTCAATATTGATCAAGCTGAGAACTCTGTACAAGGCCAGAGAGCAGGTATAAGCAGATTCCAGCCAGACAGCCCAAGCCTGCTCCAGGAGCCCCTGATGAGACTGACAGACGGGAAAGGAAGCACCCTGTATTGCTCACCTGTCTCTGAACCAGTCCTCCTTGTTTAAGTCCCAAATGTGCTTTAGACTTTGTACTCTTTTATCCCATGCCAATTATTAAAGGATCCTCCCAAACCTCTTTCCCAAACCAAAGCAGCTCTCAGTTTGCTATGTGAGTGTTCAGCAAACATGCTCTTATGCAGTGTGGAACAGATGAGAAGCAAGGAAAACTAGAGGTATGATTTCTGGTTAAGGGTGCATCTAAGGAGGGATGGTCTCCCATAAATGGGGAACATTACCAGATTGTACTTCAAGTAACTTCGAGGTAAGAAGTGGGTCAATATGGTATAACCATTTTCTTTTCTTTTTTTTGGGGGGGGGGCGCAGTTTGAGACAGGGTTTCTCTATATAACAGCTCTGGCTGTCCTGAAACTCCATTTGTAGACCAGGTTGGCCTGGAACTCAGATCCAAATTCTGCCTCGAGTGCTAGCATTACAGGCATGCACCGCCACTGCCTAGCTTGTGTAACTATTTTCAGACCTGAGCAGTCTAGAGTTGGAAGAGGAATGGAGTGCCTGTGCTGTCTTCATTATCTCAGGCCGGAAGAGATGTGGAAGACAAAGCAGCATCTAGTTAGCTGCTAAGTCCAGCATGCTCCTACCTTCCTAGGGCTTTTCTACAAACACATTTTCTGACCACAAAACTTGGAGTTATGGATCAGGTACAGAAGGAAAGGCACAGGTGGTCAACGACAATGTGGTGGAAGGAAAAAAAAGGCAGGATTGAAAAGTAGCAGGCCAGGAGCTTGTGTTTCAAACTGACTTTAGAGATCAGAGAGGTCAAAAGAAAGGGAAATTCTCAAGATGACAAAATCATTAGCAATAAATACCTTCTGCCTGAGAACCTGCAGTGTTTTATAAATTTAAAAAGCATAATTCTCTCCCAACAGACATTCTGCTACTAGCCTATATTGCACTGGTGCTTACCAAATGGGCCATTTTTCTCCAAAGAGAATTTTCAAGTTAAGTGAGGCAGTTCCACGTAGAACCAAGGGCCCTGAACATGCCAGCGCCCTACACCATCTCATGTTCCTTTCCCAGACACACACAACTTCACCCCTCAGGCCAGTGCTTATGAAACTAACCAACACTATTCCACTAGACTTCAGCCAGTAATGATTTGGTCTAGACAGTAGTAGATACTAGATACTATCCTGTGACCTAACCAAGTCCAAAATAAATAATCTGAGGCAAAATTTCTCACAACCTCATTCAGCTTCCACGAAGGCCTGCTCATCTCTGCTAGTGGTTGCTCCTAAACAGTCAACGAAATGTAACATGATTGACAGGGACTTCTTTAAAAGTTGCTCCATCTTTCAGAAACACATCTGTCCACAAAAGCCCGAGACAGCTGAGGCTCCCCTCCTCCCAGCCTTTTCTTCTTAGTTCAATGTTTAGTTGATCTGAAATAAGCGATGTGTGTAGATAAAGAATGAGATAGAGAACACAGGGAAAACAGAACTCAGGGAGACAAAGATCGGCAAAATCCTGGAAAGAGGGTTTGTGTGTGTGTGTGTGTGTGTGTGTGTGTGTGTGTGTGTGTGTGTGTCAAAAGTTGGAAATCCCTACTCCGAAGGGCTGTTCACATCAGCTGTCTCTCCTACAGGAACCATCCTCCGGAGGATTGAGAAGGGGTACAGGGAAGCCAAGGACAGCTCCACGTATCATCAGGCACCCCAGAGAAGGGCTGAGCACTAAGGTCAAAGTAGATGGGATCTTGGACTTGATGACAACGGTTTGAGATCCTTTAAGAAGGGAATAGGAAACTCTTGGAAGCCAGCAGCTGGGGGAGTGGGTTACGGTGAGGTAATGGAATCGGAAGCACAAGAGAGGGATAGGATCTCTAGCTGAGGGGATGGGAACTCTGTGCTGAGGTTGCACAGACTACGAGGAGTGGGGAAAAATAGGAAAAGGGATACAGCGGACTCCCTGGGAAAGATTTGGGCGCAGAAACACCAACGGCGGATGGACATTGTAGAAGGGGTCTAATGTGGAAAGGGTTCAGGCTTAGAGAAATAGTTAAGGGACAGAGGCAACAGGGGTAAGAAGTGTGTGTGGTGGTGGGGGGAGGTGGAATCCACGGGACAGAGGGAGGGGCTAAACAGAAGAGGAAGCCAGAAAGCAGAGAAGACGACCCGGGCCCGAGAGGAAGGAGTGAAGGACCCCAGGGTGCAGCTCCCACTGGGAGGGCAGTTTTGTAGTCGAACCCGGGTCGCGGTAGGCTGTGCGGGACAGGGTGGCAGAAGGACCCTCCCCCCCCAGGCAAAGGCGACTCATGGGGGAGGAGTCGCTTACCTCTGGGGGACCCTCGCGGAGAGGGTGCAGGCGGTCGGGGTCGGACTGCCGACACCGCCGCCTCAGCAGCAGCGGCCGCTCCCGGGTTCCATTGGCCGCCTTGCGCTTCCCTGACAGCGGCCGCGGCGTCTGCACCAGGCCCCGGCTGCGGGGCTGCCCGCGGCGCCGCCTGAAGGGGCCTTCACGCTGCCTCAAGTTGGAGCGGACCTCACAAGCAGGACCCAAAATAACAATTCTTCTGCGGAGGTCGATGTAAGAGTCTCCTGGGCCCGAGTTCTTCTTCCCGGGATTTGGCTTCCTACTTCCCGGACTGTCAGGACACTACCGATGCCATAGTAATCTGAGCCGGGTGAGCTGCCCGAGTCACGCCTGTTCAGAAATAAAAAGGGGGCGGGGAAGGGCTATTTGGAAGCGAGGGAAGGGGCGGGGGAGCAGGGAGGAGCTTCTCTGCGGAAGGAGGGCCCAGGGTTTGAGGGCCGATCCAAGAGGCAGGCTTGCTAAGGAAGCCGAGAGGGAAGTGCTGTGGGCTGGATAAGTGGCGCGATGTGGATGGACTGATATTTTATGTACTTCCACAAGTACACCAACATGCAAATTATATGCAAATTATTCGTTTGTATAAGCCACTGAGTTACTGTAATTGCCATCAGTGACTTTTTCTCCTTCTCCTGCCTTGCAGGATATCCCTTCTTAAATCAGCCGGTGGGACCCATGATGGAAGGCCAGAAAACAGATGAGAAGGGACCAGAGAGGACAGTCGTCCTCACTTTCCTTTTCCTACTCATCTTTAAGGACGACGCCAAAAGTATGCCCCTGTAGCGTCAGGAATGGCGCAGTCCAACCGCCTCAGTCTTGCACCGTTAGCAGCAACACTCTGGGCCAAGGTTCTGCTTCCGAGGTCACCCCCGCTTGGGCAGCCTCTGGCCTCCGGCGTCCAGTCACCTAAACCTCAAACAGGCTGGACTAGCCAGGTTAGGAGAGGTGAGTGAAATGACAAAAGCTTAGAGGACATATTACTTTTTCTAAACAAAACCACGAGAGACTAAACAGACATAAGCAGGCATTGTAGATAGGCCTCCGGTGTTGGTTTTGTGTTGTTTGTTCGTTACTATTATTGAAAGCCCTCCCCTTCCTCAGAATCTCTGCCCCAACTCAGTCTTTTACTGAGACTTTTCCTAGTATCCAAGGCCCCTACTAGGAGTAAGGATCTTAAAATTCTACTGGAAGCTGGTTGACCCTACATCTTGGATGCCATCTTCACTGTACTTACGAGTTGATTTCAGATCGTTTTGTTCCCTTCTTATCTTTCTTCCCCTTTCCCCCCTTTTTTGAGACAGTATATTTTTTCCCTGGCCGCTGTTATATTCCTTGGTTCAAGCCACTGGCCTGTGGAGTAAGTAGGAATATATCCATGTGCCCTCCATGCTAGACTAAACCTCAGCTTCTGTATAATAATGACTATTATTATAATAATATAGTAACAATAATGTCTGATGTAATATCATTTTCCAAGGTTTGGGAGGTTGGGGAATATCACGAAAGCGCTATAATACTACATGTCTGTTGTTAGAACATTAATACAAGTGATGAATGTCCCTGCTTCAGTATTCAGCTGGGAGGCAGAGAAAAAGCTGTAGCTTGAGGAGGCTGAAAAGATGGCTCAGCAGTTTCGAGCACTTGTTACTCTTTCAGAGGACCCAGGTTCAATTCTCAGCACCTACAGGGTGGCTCACACCATCCATGACTCCGCTTCCAAGGGGTTCAATGCCCTCTTCTACCCTTGTGGGCACCAGATACATACATACATAATATATACATAATACATACATACAAGCAAAACATTCATACAGATTAGAGCTATAGCTTGAAATGCCTGCTTAACACCTGCAGCAGGTACAAAAGTAGGACGATGGAGTTCTTACTTGCTGTAGACACAGGACAGAACCTTGTTAAGCTGACACAGAAGGTCTGGCTGCATACTATATGGTGAGTGAATGGAAGGCTTCTTATGAATACTGCAAGGCAGAGCTTAGGAGAGATACTAGATAGTATCCAGTGGGATAGAAAAGAAAGAACATTCTAAGAGTAGAAAAATTGCACACTGAACAGTAGGAATGGGAATTTTTTCAGATTACAAGGACAGGACAAGCATAAACTAGGCTCAAGGGGGGCATAGTAATGGAAGATAAGCACAGCAGAGTAACAGGGTGCCAAGGCCAGCTCAGATCTGCCACTGCAGTGGGTAGTCACCGTTCCACCTGTCAGGACCCATCATCAGCTGTATCAAGAGGTGGTGAGCCTGTGCTAGCCTGGAGTTTAAATGCAACACATTCCTTAAGGACTGGGATTCCATGGGGGTGGCAACACAAGTCTTTATTTTATTTGGTTTTTGGAGATGGTCTCTCTACATAGCCATGGCTGTCCTGGAACTCACTATGTAAACCAGGCTGGCCTCAAACTCAGAGATCTGCCTGTCTCTGCCTCCTAAATGCTTGGATTAAAGATATGTGCCACCATCCTGGGCTAAAATTATTCTTTAAATATTGTAAAAAGAGGTATGGCAGGCTGGATAAACAATACAAAGTGAGGTATGAAAGCCCTTTTGTTTTAATTTAAATTAGAAACAAGGTTGCTTACATGCCAATCCCAGCTCCCTCTCCCTCCCCTCCTTTTTGTTTTTTTGTCTTGTTTTTTGGGACAGGGTTTCTCTGTGTAGTCCTGGCTGTCCTGGAACTCTATTTCTAGACCCGGCTGGCCTTGAACTCAGAGATTCACCTGCCTCTTCACCCCAAATGCTGGGATTAGACGTGTGCATCACCACAGCCAGGCTGAAAGCCCTTTTTATAGTAGGGTTTTTCTTAACTTGTGTTTGTTTTCTGAATTGGGGTCTCACTATAGCCTGGGTTAGTCTTTAACTATATATATCCCATATTGACTCTAAACTTGCATCCAGTTCAACCTTGCAAATGCTAGGATAATAGGCCTGAACCAGTACTTTTGGCAGGAAATTTTGTTTTTTTAATACAGGTCTCACTATATAGCACTGCATGATCTGGAACTCACTGTGTAGACCAGGATAGTCTCAAGCTCACAGAGCTCGACCTGCCTATTCCTCCAAGTGCTGGGATTAAAGGTGTGTACCACCCTACACAGGTGAGTTATGTTTTGTTTTTAGTAATGTATTTGTTACATTTTAGTATACAAAATAATGGGTTTATTTATGAGAGTTTAGTTTTGTTGCTTGTTTTGGTTTTTTGAGACAGGTTTCTCTATGTAGCCCTGGCTGTTCTGGAACTCCATCTGTAGACCAGGCTGGCCTCAAACTCACAGAGATCCACCTGCCCCTGTGCCCTGCCCACCTATGACATTTTTATGAACACGCAGAGACACAAGCACATGTGTGCGCACGTTTACAGTTTTACTCTGCTCATGCTCCCATGGCCGCCCCTCCTTTTCACTTGCCTGCTTTTGAGACAGGGCCTCGTGTGTCTGGCATTGGCCCAAACTCCCGTTTCCTTTCTTTGCCTCCTTAGGACTGAAATTAGAGCCACATGCCACCACAACCAGCTTGCACCTCCCTTTATCATTTGTTTTTTGAGGGACTTAGGTAGACCAGACTATGTGTATAGTGATCCTCCTTCCTCAACCTCCTGGGATTTTTCCACTGACAGAAAAACAAGACTTCAGGAATAGAATATCTCTGTTCAAACTGAGGATTTTATTTCAAAGGTTGCAACTTTTTTGAGCTGGCGAGTGGCTCGGTGGGCAGAGTGCTTGCTATCAACTCTGATTGCCTGAGTGGGTACCAGACTTATATGGTGGGAGGAGAGGAACTGACTCCTGGAAGTTGTCCTCTGACTTCATTGTGTGCTCTGTAGCAGAGACACACACACACACACACACACACACACACACACACACACACACACACACACACACACACACACACTGACTCCTGGAAGTTGTCCTCTGACCTCATTGTGTGCTCTGTAGCAGACAGACAGACAGACAGCACACACACACACACACACACACACACACGTGCGCATACGTAAAAAGATGTAGCACTTGTTTATAGCTATAGTCAGTGGTAAATTCTTAACCAAATGAGACCATTCTCTCATGTACATACATACTCACATAGAATTTAGTCATGAGTAAGTAGAAAGTGTGCGACATGTTTTCTGTTTAGCTCTACAGGCTCAGAGTTGTCAGTTTGTTTGCATTTATACCTTTGTCTTTCTGCTTTTATCTGGAGAGTTTGGATTTTTTGTTGTTTTGTTTTCTTTCTGCTCATATATTCTAGCCTTGTTTCTGCCTATATTTTGACACTTTTATTTATTTATGCAGTATTGGGGATTGAATCTAGAGTCTCTTGCATGCTAAGCAAGTGCTCTACCACTGGGCTGTATCCCCAGCCCTGCTCCCTTTTGGAGTTAGGTTCTCAATAAGTTGCCCAGGCACGCATTGAACCTACAACCCTGTTTCAGCCTCCCAGGTAGCTAGGATTACAGGCCTAATTTTCAGTCAGTCCTTAGTATCTTCAAGTCTGAGCTCCTAAAGCAGTGCATCTCAATCTTCCTAATACCACGACCCTTTAATACAGTTCTTCATGTTCGGGGACCACTAGCCATAGCTATGTTTGTTGTTACTTCATTACTGTAATTTGCTACTGTTATGAATTGTAATGTAAATATTTTTGGAGACAGTGTTGTCTAAGGGGTCATGAACCACAGGTTGATAACTGCTGTCCTATAGGAAAGGAAAGATTTGCCTTTGCATTCTAAGCATCAATGTTTCACCACAGGAACAGTTTGTATTTGTTGATTGATTTTAGAAGCAGACATAGAATTCAGTAGTGCATAAAGGAGACTTATGAAATTGTAAAACAAAGTGAAGTGTCTCACTGGTGTTTTATTTGGAAAACTATATTTTTTCAAAAGTGAGTTTAAAGGCAAGGCAGTGGTGGCGCATGCCTTTAATCCCAGCACTCTGGAGGCAGAGGCAGGCGGATCTCTGTGAGTTCGAGACCAACCTGGTCTATAGAGTGAGTGCCAGGATAGGCTCCAAAGCTACACAGAGAAACCCTGTCTCGAAAAACCAAACCAATCCAAAATAAGAAACCAAATCAAAAGTGAATTTAAAATATTTTAAATCCATAGGTCTGACTAAATTTTCTATATTCATATTTTTCTTTATTTTTAAAGCCTTAGTCTTATTTTGTTCTATTTGGGGAAAAAATAAACAAGATTTCAGCTGGGTATGGTACCCTCCCAGCAGAGGCAGGCAGATTTTTGTGAGTTCAAGGCCATTCTGGTCTTTATGAGTTTCAGGATAGGCAGAGTTACATAAAGAGACCCTGTCTCAACAAAACAGGATCTTATTGTGTATGTAGCTTAGCCTGGCCTCAAACCTAAGACCCTCCTACCCCTGCCTCCTGAATGCCAGAATCATAGGCAGGCTGCTGCTTAGCTTCCCCACAGTCTCTAAGTGTCAATCATAAAACCATGAAAAGCATAGTACATTATATTCAAATAGCAAAACCACTGAAGTATCATGTTGCACTAGTCTCTAAATCCCTCATCGCTGAACCGCTTTTGTGTGCATGTGTTTGCTAGTGTGCAAGTATATGTGTGTACATGTACAAGCTTGTAGCGGCTAGAGGATAACTTTTGGTGGTATTGCCTCAGGTGCCATCCACTTTGGGTTTTGTTATATATATTTTTGAGACAAGATTTCACTGTCCTGGCTGGCCAGCTTGCCCCAGGGATCCTCTTGTCTTTGCCTCCCCAGTATTGGGGTTATAAACAATACCATGTACCTGGCTTTTTACACTTTATTTGCTTTTCTTTCTTTCTTTTTAAAGATTTATTTATTATGTACAGTATCCTACCTGCCTATATGCCTGAATGCCAGAAGAGGGCACCAGATCTCATTATGGATTTGTGTATTGCTGGGAATTGAACTCTTAACCTCTGAGCTATCTCTCCAGCTCTGAACCTGGCTTTTTAAATGTGGATTCTGGATCTGGAGAGATAGATTAGTGGTTAAGAGCACTCAATGCTATTATAAAGGACCCAGGTTCAATTCCCACTATCCACATAGTGGCTCACAACTGCAAGTAACTCTAGTGCCAGGGGAATCTGATGTCCTCTTCTGGCACTTGCACACACACAGTACACATAAATATGTACAGGCAAAACACACATAACATTTAAAACAACCTTTTTAAAAAAGCAAATGCATTTTATTCTGTGATCACTGAAAAACAAATGAGCATTATTTAATACGCAGTAAGACTTTCGTGAACTAATACCTAACTGTATGCAGCACTCTCATACTTTGGGGCTTATTTTATTTCCCTTTTAGAAACAATGTTTTGCATTCTTCTAAATAGATTTCATACTTCACTAATGGGTTGCAATATAAAATTTGAAAAAACCAGACAGTAAATGTTCAAAATCCTATGGTGGAGCTGGACAGA